GTGTAGAAAGGATGTTTAATCCTGGATTCTCTGATCCTCCCATTCTTCTACTGTCTACTGATAGAACAGAGCCTTGGGGGCAAGCTGCACATGCGCAGTTTGGTGTGTATTGCTAAAGAGTTTTTTTTGTTCTTGGGAGAGTACATGTGATCAGCACAGGGCCAATCAGTGCTGTCCAGACAGAGGGCAAGGGGTCATGCAGCCTCATAGCACAGTCAGAAGAGAATGAAAATTCCTCCTACAAGCTCTAACCCACCTGGCATTATTCCTGAGTGTAGCTCGGGGTTTAACTTTCAGTACCAGAAGCGGTAACCCCTGAGTTACACTCAGGAATACACTGCAGCGCTTCTCCAGCAATCCCTGCAGCACTTACCTTGTCCTGCACTCCCACGATGTCCCCCCTGCAGCGTCCCCGACCATGTGCTCTGGCCAATGCCGGCATCCGTCTTCCGGGTTCCATTCATTGCGAGCGTCGGGATGTACAGGGGATGTAACCGGTGGGAAATTCAAAAATGTAAAAATTTGACATTCAGTAAATGTCCAAGCCAGGTCAACCATTGTGAATTGAATTAATCACTCTCTTAACCTCCTTGGCGGTATTCCCGAGTGTAGCTCGGGGTAAAGTTTCAGCACCACAAGCGGTAACCCTGAGCTACACTCGGGCATACCATGCGGCGCTGCTCCAGGATCTCTTCTTTACTTACCTTGTCCTTTGCTCCCGCGCGATGTCCCTCCTGCAGTGTCCCCTGCAATGTCCTCCAGTGGATGCCGGCATCTGTCTTCCGGGTTCCGTTCTCTGCTATGTCGGGACGTACGGGGGACAGAACTGGCGGGAAATTTTAAAGTTGTAAAAGTGACATTCACTAAATTCACTAAAATCTGATAGTATTACATTACTGTATCAAACCATTTCACATACATTTTGTCCCGAGTGCTTTGTCCTGTGCCCTGCCTGCATTTTTACTGTTCTTTCTGCCTGGAAACTGAGAAATGTCCATGGCGTCCAAAAAGCGTCCCTTTAGGTCAAAAGCAGTTTTAGACCAGCTAGAGAACAGCGATAGTAAATTAGAATCACTTGCAAAATTGAGTGATAATGATTCGTGGGGAAATTCAGACACTGAAAATGATTTTGCGACTGAACTCAGCGATGTGCGAACTTGGCGCTCTATTTCAAATTTCAGTGTTTTTGGTTTGATTACATTATTGAATTAAATTTATTATTACTTTTTATGATTATTTATTATATTATAATTTATGACTTCATGTTTCAAATTTTATCATAGCCAGGATGTTTACTAGACTCTTGTTCGGACAGATTTCAGTGAGTTATTGCAAAGAATTACAGGCCTACAATAAAAAAACAACATATTTCCATTGAAAATAATGTACCGCTTTGAGCACAGAAATACTGACATAATCAGACTGCTAGGGAGGTTAACCAGTCTTTTGTTGGACACTGATAGAAAAGGTATTTAGTAGTTTATATTTACTAAAATAATTGCATTTCCATGTTGTGTGTACTGTGGGAGACCAGATATAGTGAATGCAGGGTCCTGGGTTAACACTTTAACCACTTCCAGCCCGGACACTTTTACCCCATTCCTGTCCAGGCCAATTTTCAGCTTTCAATGCTATCACACTTTGAATGACAATTGCGCGGTCACACAATACTGTACCCATATGAATTTTTTAGCATTTTTTTGAGACAAACAAAGCTTTATTTTAGTGGTGTTTATTCACCATTGGGATTTTAATTTTTTTTACTATGTAAATGAAAATGTCCAAAAATTTTGAAAAAAAGTGTTTTTCTTATAAAATTTTGCAAATAAATAGTATTTCATCATAAATCTTGTCCAAAATTTAGTGAAAAAAAAAAATAACCCAAATTAGTTTATAACCAAAAATTATAATTACATTTTTTTTATATTATTATATGTTTTTTTTTTTTTACATACTGTCACCCTAGCAGTACAGTGTCACCATGGTGACACTGTACTACTTGTGGGGGGTGATGAAGATTTTTTTTTTTTTTACACTGATTGCTTTCACACCCATAAAGGCTGTAAAAGCAATCATTTCTCCTTCTCTCTAGCTTCATTCTTGCAGCCATTGAGAGCTGTTGTGAATAGCCTTGTATCATGTGACCTCTGTGATCATTCGTAGACTTCACACGTAGTAAGCAATGATGTCAGAAGTGACATCTTGTTTACTACTCTGCATGTGATCACTGATTGGCCAATCAGTGATCACATGATCGGGACCTCTCGCACGGAGGTCCCGTCCGATGATCGGTGTTCCACTGTGTCCGGAGGACACAGCAGGCACCGGATCGCAGTGCTGCGCGCTCCCGGGGAGCGTGCACAAGCAGGGTGCGGGGAGGCCGTTTATAAACAGCCACCCAACCCTGCACTGCCACCGTCCGGCCGTTTATATACATGGGCCGGACGGGAAGTGGTTAAATATCTGTTTTAGGTCTGTAATATGAGCAGACACAAGGCCTAGCTAAATGGTTAGCTGGGACCAAAAGGCTTACCTACCATCTAGGACCCCAACTGACAGAATCTACAATATTGCAGCAGTGAACATTATTATTGTAAACAAAATGAAGTACATCAGGACAAATCTACCTGGAGCTGACCTTCAGAAAATGTATGGTGCACTGACAATACAGCAATAACACCAATGAAAACTGTTAGCTTTGGCTCTATTTAAAGGGACCAAAAATGCCGCATTTCACCCCTTTTATAAATAAGCCTCTGTACAAGTGCTAGCTGCATGCTGCACAATTTCACTTTTGAAAAGTAAGATTTCTCTGGCAGCCAATGAATATATAGTCATAAGTTTCCATTCCTCCCATGCCTTCCTAACACCTCGCAAAACCTGCTTCTGCCTCTTCTATTACTGAATATGCTAATCAGTCACATTTCTCCTCTCATGAATAATGCCACCCCCAGGTCTCTCTCATACACAGCCGCCACACTCCCCCCTCCACTTTTCCACTTCCTTGTGAATATGCAGATTGCTAGTCTCTGCACACATAAATATGTCTATTTGCTGCTCTGGCTGCTCATAGATGCTGCACAAAGACTTCTTATGCATGTGCTTTTTTTTTTCTGTCCCACATCCACCTATGATGAAATGGAAAATGCTGGACTACAGCAATCAAAAATGAATGTGGATTGAAGGCATGTCCCCAATTTAAGCAAATTCAATTGGGAAAAAAAGAAAATAAACATTCATAACATTCCTGTTACCGTAATATACCAGCCTACAAAACCCAAATAACAAATAGGTTGACCATTAGGGCTGCCCATAGCAAATAATCTGTCATTTTCGTTGTGTAACGTTAAAAATAAAACAGATTCTGATTGGTTGATATAGACCACAGGATATTTTCTCGTAAGCTACATAGTTAGTCTGGCTGAAAAAAGAAAAAAGTCTATCCAGTTCAACCATACAAAAAATTAAAAAAAAGTTATAATCTTACACCCACAGTTGATCCAGAGGAAGGCAAAAAAAATACCAGCAAAGCATGATCCAATTTGCTCCTGCAGGGAAAAAATTCCTTCCTGATCCCCCCGAGAGGCAATCAGATATTCATGCTTTTGATACCTAATCCTAAAACTGACCAGATGAGGAGAAGTTCTTATTGCCTGGAGTATTTCCCTCATAGTGCTTAGGAAGTAAAGAATATGACAAATTACAACATGGATAGTTTTTTTTTCCAGACATTTTGATTAATAGGACCAACTACAGAATATGATGGTGTTGGCAAAATAGCATGTTTTTTTTAACCAGTCAAATTATGGGCTTACCCAATATATCTCTCCAATTTTTAAAATAAAATATGTTTTCTGGATGCAGCTGCTTTAACCAAATGCCCTCCAGAGGATTTACCCCCCCTTCCTAAGCAGGCCATTTCTTGCAATACGGCGCTGTGTCATGCAATGCTGCACCCAAATGAAATTTATGTTTTTTTTCCCCCACAAATAGATCTTTCTTTCTAAAACAAAAAAAAAAAGACAATTTTGGAAAAAAACTATATTTTTGACATTTTGTTATAAAACATATCCAGTAAATAAATGTTAAAAATCAAATTTCGTCATAAATTTAGGCCAAAATATATTCTGCTACATGTCTTTGCTAAAAAAAATCCCAATACATGTAAATTAATTGGTTTACATGAAAGATATAGCATTTACAAATGGCGGTATATATACTGGAAATTATCTGGGGCAATCAAAGGGTTAACTGTGTGCTGTGTGTGTTTTACTGTATGCTGTGTGTGTGTTGTACTGAGTAAGCACATTGCTTTGTACTGCTCTGCTATGCAGAGCGACACAAAGCAGTGTGCAGGAGCTGACAATATTTTTGACAGTTTGCTATAAAACATATCCAGTAAATAAATTTTAAAAATCAAATTTAGTCATAAATTTAGGCCAAAATGTATTCTGCTCCATGTCTTTGCTAAACAAATCACAATACGTGTAAATTAATTCGTTTTACATGAAAGTTATAGCGTTTACAAATGGCGGTATATATACTGGAATTTTTATTTAATTTTTTTTTATACTAGTAATGTTTGCGATCAGCGACTTATAGCGGGACTGCGGCGGGCATTCTGACACTGGGGGGAACTGACTAACTGCCACTGACATCCCCAGTGACACTAATACAGTGATCAGTGCTAATAAAAAGCACTGACACTGTACTAATGACACTGGGTAAGAAGGGGTTAACATCTGGGGTGATCAAAGGGTTAACTGTGTGTTGTACTGTGTAAGCACATTGCTTTTTACTGCTCTGCTATGCAGAGCAATACAAAGCAGCGTGCTGGAGCTGACAGGGGAGAGATCTGTATTGTTTACATACAGACCTATCCCCTGTCAGTGATATTTGGCAATCGCCAGGTGCCGGCGGGGAATCATCGGCTGGGACCTGGTGATCGACTGCTGAGGCTGCCAATGACGGTGCAAGTAGGGTGTGCGTGTGTCCCCTACCTGGAAATGCAAAATCATGTATATATATGTGATTTTGCGCAGCCCCCCTGCCACCCTGTAACAGTACTGTGGTTTTGTCATCGGTATCACTTCTTCCTCAGAGGGGTTTAGAGAACAAGAGGGCCCCCCAACTGAGAGACCATCCTTTGCTCCGCTAGGATTACAGACCAGCTGAGAGGGTTCCATAACCCAGACTGTCACAAGTTACAACTCATTCCCTTGTTTTCAGTTCAGGGGCGGACTGACAACTCATGGGTCATGGGGCCCCCAGTTTTAAAGATGGCCACCATGCAGCAGCCATCTTTATGAAGCAACATTAATGTGGCAGGCCTGCACGGAGGGGCACCAAGCTTGGCGACATGCAGAGTGGCAGGAGACTTAAAGCTGGCGACCCAATAAAGGGACCAGGAGCCTCTCATGGGCACTGCCACCTTAACAGCGTCATGGGCCCCTGGGAAAAGTAATGCTCTGGGGCCCCTACCAAGGAAATGGTGCCTGCGGTGCGCATAGTGCACCATGGTGAACAATAGGCATGGTCAGTGGAGAGTCTTAAAGGAGGACTGAACAGAATCTGTCTGCTGTATACACTGCACACATATACCGCAGCCCTTTTATCCACAAAATACTAATTACTGTATCACAGCTGACAGTCTCACAGACACAAATAAATATCAGTCAAAGGATCATTTGTTTTTATAATAAACATTTCCATCGTATGTTTTTATGCACAAAAAAAAGGATATTTCTGTCTTACTGAGTTTACCTTACAGAATAACTTCATCAGGTCGATGTACAGTATAATGTATAGAGTGCAGAGTTCAGGAGTAAGTTAACAAAAGAACAACATATAGAGTGCAGCAGTCAGGATGAGTGCCATGCTCACATCAGAGTCCTCCCTTACATCAAAGTCCTCAGAATTCTCTCTATACATCACAGTCTGCAGAGTCCCCCTTACATCAGAGTCCTCAGAATGCCATTGTGCAGCACAGCCCCCAGAGTGCCACCTTGCTACACAGCCCCCAGAGTCCCACCTTACAGCAGAGTGACACCTTGCAGCACAGCCCCCAGAGTGACACCTTGCAGCACAGCCCCCAGAGTATCACCTTACAGCACAGCCCCCAGAGTGCCACCTAGCAACACAGCCCTCAGAGTGCCACCTTGCAACACAGCCCTCAGAGTGCCACTTTGCAACACACAGCCCTCAGAGTGCCACTTTGCAGTAAAGCTCCCAGAGTGCCACCTTGCTACACAGCCCCCAGAGTCCCACCTTACAGCAGAGTGACACCTTGCAGCACAGCCCCCAGAGTGATACCTTGCAGCACAGCCCCCAGAGTGACACCTTGCAGCACAGCCCCCAGAGTACAACCTTACAGCACAGCCCCCAGAGTGCCACCTTGCAACACAGCCCTCAGAGTGCCACATTGCAGTAGAGCTCCCAGAGTGCCACCTTGCAGCATAGCCCCCAGAGTGCCATTTTGCAGCACAGCCCCCAGAGTGCCACCTTACAACACAGCCTCCAGAGTGCCACCTTGCAGCACAGCCCCCAGAGTGCCATTTTGCAGCACAGCCCCCAGAGTGCCACCTTACAGCACAGCCTCCAGAGCGCCACCTTGCAGCACAGCCTCCAAAGTGCCACATTACAGCACAGCCTTCAGAGTGCCACCTTGCAGCACAGCCTCCAGAGTGCCACCTTGCAGCACAGCCTCCAGAGTGCCACCTTACAGCACAGCCCCCATAGTGTCACCTTGCAGCACAGCCCCAAGAGTGCCACCTTACAGAACAGCCTCCAGAGTGCCACCTTACATCAGAGTCCCATCTTACATCAGAGTGCCACCTTACAGCAAAGCCCCCTTACATCAATGTCCCCTTAGACACGCCTTTTCACCTTGGTCCTTGGTGTAGCAGGCGGTTGGCGGTAAAAGGCTTTTAAAAACAATCCACTTGTTCTGAACTGCGCATGTGCAGTTGTGGAGCCAGCTGAATGGTGAACTGCTGTGCTTGGCTTTGGATCAGGCAGTGGGGCATGTGAATAAAAGCTATGATTGATGGGTGCCATGATGTCATCATACAGCGGAGCACCCAGACCTGTCCTGCTGCCAGATCTGTGGCCAAGCTCAGCAGTTCACCATTTGGCTGGCTCAGAATGGCACCAAGTGTTTTTGTTATGGGCATATTTCGCCTCTCAATGGACATGTGTGGACTGTTGTCAACTAATCGAGTGTCTTTTTTCTAACATGTGTGTTCAATAGAAGTCGATCAGTAGATCGATTTCTGTTGATTGGCAGTGGGCACACATGGATCATACAATATACACACACTTTTTGAGGAGATCTTGTTTCCCCCCAAGGAGACTTCAACTCTAATGTGTACCAACTAGGGCACCATCAAGCGTGCAGAATAATCTATTTCTGTACTTGGGAGTGATGCTAGAGGAGATGTTATTACATGCAAATTCATCTTGAGAGTTAAACCCTGTTTCTAATTATTGAAAAAACACAAGTGATTTAGCCTGACTTTCCTTTATACTCTATGACAGCTCACTTTGGAAAACAAAACATCTCAGTCCTGGGATTAATTACATACGTACATACTACCTCTCTTTATTTGCCTTGAATACTTGTGAAAACTGTTTTGAAAACAGTTTGAAACAGAAATAAAAATGGGTTGTTCCAAAAAAATATTCTTGTGCAGCAAGAAATCAGATGGCTGTTTTTTTTATGTACCTTTCATTAACCCCTTCGCGAGGATGTCACACAGATATGTGGCCTCACAGAACTGGGCTTCTTTCTGTGGGGGCCGCATATTTGTGTACCTGTCTTTGTGCTGGGAATGTGCCACACAGCATGCTCCCAGCACAAAGACTGGGGTATCACTGAGAGCCATGGGTCCTGTTCTAACGATCGAGACCCAGGACTCCCCGATTCCGGATCACATGATCGCTGTGATAGCCTCTGATTGGCTATCACAATGATCAGTCACTGTATAGCCCGCCCCCCTTGTTTTTTTTTCTCTATGAATGAAGGAGAGAGATACATTGTATCTCTCTAACTCCTTGCATAGAGAAAACAAATTGTTAAAAATAAATAAATAACTAAATATTAAAAAACAAAAGAAAAAAAAAAGAAAAAAATACCTAGATCAAGGTTTGATCTAGCTCAGTGCCAGGGTTAGTGTTTGGGTCAAGGTCAGGGTCAAGGTCAAAAGGTCAGGGTCAAAGGCCAGGATTTTTTTTTTAAATTGGTATCAGTGTCAGTCAGTGTCAGTTTGTTTTAGGTAAAACCCCCCCCAAAAAAAACAAATGCGCACTATTGTTTCTGGGCTGTACTACGGGTACAAACAACAAATAACATACACATATATGGTATTGCTGCGATCGTCAAGAGCTGGAAAATTTATTTTGGGTTGTTTTTAGTGGTAAGGTATGGTAATAACAAGAAACACACAGCTAAATTTAAAAAAATATATATTTTTTACTATTTTGGGCCAGTTTTCATTTGATAATAAAAAAAATCAGGAGATATCCATTACCATTTACCACCAAATGAAAGTCCAATTTGTCCTGAAAAAAACAGGTATAATTCACCTGGATGTACAAAGCAGTTGTGATGATATGTACAGTTTTACTAACACATGTCAACGTTGCAAAATTGTGCTTAGGCATTAAGATTTGTTTTACCCTTAGGCGTGAAGGGGTTAAGAAACAATTATGTAATAGTAGAAAAAAATGTATCTTACCACAAACAATATAGCATAGTGCAATTTTTTTTGGTAATTTAGTAGTTGTTCTGGTGTAGGCGGTTCCTGCTCTGGGTCCACACCTGTTCCCGCAGCTGCAACCACCCGCACAGAAAAATGAGCTAGATGTGTGCGGGTGCCATTAATCCTAATGGCATGCTACACGCACTGGAAATCGCTCCTGCACTTGGAACTGCACTGCTCTTGTGGTTTCTGTGCAGGCTGTGATTCTGAAAATAGAGCATTGACCTTTTCCCTGCATTTCAGGAGGCACAGCAGCCCATTCAAATGAATGGGAGACATGCCCGCACAAAACTCAGCTCGCAGAGTAGCATACACGTGAACCTAGCCTTTGGACATGCTAATCTATCCAAGCAAGGGAAAGGTGATTCAGGGAAAGTTCCTCCTGATCTCTATAGGCAAAAACATAGCCCAATGCAAAGATTAAGGTTCGTTTGGGTTTTGCCTACTTCTCTGGCTGCCATCTTTGGTTCACCTACTGTTTATCAGAACTCAATTTTGAGCAAGAGTGCAGCACCTTTATTTAGTATGCATAGCCTTAAGAGATTCAGTTGCAAGAAAAAGTATGTGAACTCCTTGGGATTACGTGGAGTTTTGCATGAATTGAGCATAAAATGTGCTCTGAATGTCATCTAAGTCACAACAATAGAAGAACACAGTCTGCTGAACATAATACTACACAAACATTAGATGTTGCCATGGTTTAATTGCACATAACATGTAAACATTCACAGTGCAGGGAGGAAAAAGTATGTGAACCTTTGGACTTAATAACTGGTTGACCCTCCTTTGGCAGCAATAACCTCAACCAAACGTTTCCTGTAGTTGCAGATCAGACCTACACAACGATCTGGAGTCATTTTGGACCACTCCTCTTCACAAAACTGTTTCAGTGTAGCAATATTCTTGGGATGTCTGGTGTGAATCGCTCTTGTAAGGTCATGCCACAGCCTTTCAATCGGGTTGAGGTCAGGACTGGGCCACTCCAGAAGGCGTATTCTGTGCTGTTGCAGCCATTGTTTTGTTGAATTACTTGTATGCTTTGGGTCATTGTCCTGTTGCATCACCCATCCTCTGCGTAGCTTCAGTTGGCGGACAGATGGTCGTACGTTTTCCTGCAAAATGTCTTGATAAACTCTGGAATTCATATTCCCATCAATGACAACAATCCGTTTAGGCCCTGAGGCAGTAAAGCAGCCCCAAACCATGATGCTCCCTCTGCCATGTTTTACAGTGGGGATGAGGTTTTGATGTTTGTGTGC